GCCTGGATTTGGAGCCACACACAAAATTAAAGTGAAATGTTCCCTTTATTTTTTTGAGCAGTATATATAAAATCACTGACTTGACTTTGACCTCCCCATGTGATCTTAAAGATTTAGTGTCATTTAAAGTCACAGTGTGCTTAACAATCGGCTGTTTCTAAACCGGCCACTATGATCGCGATAATAGATCTGTTGCATCACAAGTTTATGTGAGTGAAATGAAAATCCCTAATATGAGGTGATTAAAAATGGTGTCTCTAGTGTTTTCATGCCTTTACTTCTTTTTTTCCAATCTCTGCAATACACCTGACTGTATGAAAAATGCTCTATAAATAAAGTTTGATTGGTTGGTAGGGTTGTGCAGCCATGAAGTATTTCTTATTGTGTTTACCTTGATGTTGAAAATGAGATGCTACATTCTAATCGGTGTTTGTGCAGTTGCAGGTACATGCTGTGGCAGAGGATGGAGGGACGACAGTAGGACAGACACAGGCTGTGGTCAAAGTTACCGACCAGAACGACAACATACCTGTTTTTAATAAAGTCACCTATGAGGGAGAAGTGCCTGAAGCCTCACCTGCAGGTATACTGTTTTTAAACTTTTGGGTGTCAAATTTTTGGACTTTCTGAAAACCTTGCATGGCATGTTTTGCGGGTCTTCTACTGTAATGGTTGTGGGGCCAGTAGTCACTCTGTTTGTGGTGCAGTGGGTGGGGTCGGTGTGGTGCCTCATCTAGGCACCACACCTAGATGAGGCACCTTTGTGTATTTAAGGACACAAAGGTTTTTCCTCCCTCATGATGTTACAGCACAACGATAATAAAATAACTCTGATTCTATAAGGCAGTGCTCCAGCAGGGATCCACAGAGAACATTCTTGTTTTCTTGGTTTTGTGATTTGAATGTGGTGGATCTGAATTGTTCTTTGCGGATTTATTGGACTTTAGATTCCAGGCCCTGAATGCTTCTGGCTGTCAATTAGTGCAGTGTTTTTGTGTCATGCCAGAAGGTATTCAAGGCGCCATGCTGAGTAGCATTGATAGTCTTAGGCCTCTGGGCAGTCATGTTGCAGCTTTTCCATTAGTCTGTTTGCAAAGTGAAATGTCTTCTGCCGTTATCTGTTGAGATAGCAACATCATAGCCAGTGACTGAATTAATTTTTATTTAAAATGGGAAAATGTACAACATGCATTAACCACTGAAGGTTAATGCATGTTGTAGCTACCAATGCTAATATTGGGATTAATAATTTTACAAGTAAATTCAAGCATGTCTGCTTCCACAGTGCATCATGACATCTTTGTCATGATTCTTACAAAAAAAGAAGAAAATATTATCTGACTTATGGACACTATGAACACCTATATTTCTGATTTGCTAACTTTGAGCATTGCAATACAATGCCTCCTCTTGATTTTCTTTCCACAGGTTTTGAGGTTATTAAAGTGGAGGCCACAGATGCTGATGAGCCAAATACTGACAACTCAGAGATTCGCTACAGCATTATAAGCCAGGAACCAGCAGAACCCTCCATGTTTACCATCGACCCAGTTTCTGGAGCCATCACTCTTAATACTGGCGGACTGAATAGAGAGGTACTTCTTAAAATCCTTGCTTCCCAGCTGAAATGATCAGCCTACTGTTACAGCTACGCTGATGGCCTCACTCCTGTCTCATCCAACAGAAACACCCTCAGTACACTCTGCAGGTCAAAGCAGAAGACTCTGCTGGCAAAGGCAGCACTACTTTATTTGCACAAGTTAAAGTAATTCTGACCGTGACAGCAAACTCTGTGAGTACAACTGTGAGTTATTTACTGCACGACTGACTTTTTAAATTCTCGTTGCATCACTGCTTCTCAATTCCAGTCCTCTGGCCCCTCTACACTGCATGTTTTAGATACGTTTCTATTCCAGAACAGCTGTTTCAAAGGATTGCATGACCTCTTCTGCAGACATCAAGTACTGCAGATGGCTGCTAATCACACACAGATTCAAGCCAAGTGTGTGGCAGAAGAGAAATACCTAAAACATGCAATGCAGGGGGCGTGAGGACCAGAACTGAGAGACACTGTGATACATGTAGAGAAGGTCAGGATTTTCTATATTGATACAAAATGTTTCACCAGTTGTGAAACATTAACTGCATGGGTGATTATCATTCAACTCCAACTGATGCAATGAGTAGCTTCTCATTTCTTAAACAACCATGTCTAAAGACACATCCTGTGGTCATGAAAATACGTTAGTCTGTTTAAGATGAGTCAGATCATTGGCATCAAGCAGAGAAAAACATATGAGATTCAGGAACTACTAAAATTAGGTTGAGAACTGTCCAACATATTAAAAAGTAGAGGGAAACAGGAACCATTGTTTTTGAGGAACAAAAGTGGTCAGAATAAAACCCTGAATGATCATGATTGGAAATGGCTGTTCGGTGTAATCAAGCTATAGAAAACAGAAGACTCAGAACTATGTAATTGTGAAACTTAAAGCATTTTCACATTCAGAATGTGAAGGGAACTCGATAAAGGGATAGAAACGGAACAGCTGTATATCCACAAGAAAACCACTAATCAGAAAGTTTGCAAAGGAGCATAAGTATTGAACTCTGGAGCAACGGAAGAAGGTTGTGTGGTCTGAGTGTGGATTTTAACCTTTTCCAGTGTGACGGTCCTTGCTGTGCATGGCTCCTCCAATTGGTCAGGTTCAAGTTCAGCAACATTGAGTTTAGCTTACTACCCGAATCTACTGAATGATCAGGTTGTTCCATGAATTACTTCTCTCATGAAGCTTATAGTAGTACTCAAATGTAGCAGGCAGGAGTTGTGAGGTTGAGATGCAAATTTAAGACAGGAGCCATGAGGTAGCTGAGGAGAAGCACAGGGTAAGGACAAGATGAGCCGGCGAGAAGCGACTGAGAGTGAGCAACTTAAATACTGGGGAGGTTGAAGGCAGAACCAAAGACATGGGCTGATGAACTAGCTGATTGCAGGTGTGAGTGGAGGGAAATGGAGGCAGACTGAGGAGGGAGAGAGAGCATGTGACACAGGGGGTGAGGGAGAGCAGGCAGGGAAACAGGAAATTAATCTAACACTACAGGATAACTTGACTAAAGAGACATAATAAAATGAGTGAAAAGAAAAACTACAAGGAATAAACATAACTAGAAACACTAAGAACTGTAATAAAGGGAAACAGGAACAAGACGGATCTAACCAAAATGAGAAAGTAACACAAAATGAAGTCAAACTACCAAAGCAATACAACAACCCAGGATTCTAAGAATATCTTCCTTGATGACGTGGGAATGTTCCAGGATGCCAGGATTCATCAGCTGGGACTGTGAAAGAGAGGCTCAGATAGCATGAAACATAATATTCACAAATGCATCAGCCAATCCTAAAAATTTAAAAATGTCTCTGACTCTTTTTAATCCACAGGCGTCCCAGGCTGGTGAAGCAAAGAGGAGGAGGAAGAGATTTTCCACAGCTCCATTATCTGTCATGGAGAACTGAAAAGGACCCTAGTGATTAAAGCTTACTCGGGTAAAAGGAAGTCTGAGAGTTTGATGCTGAAATGCAATGTTGGGTTAAGAAAGTCCTTTCTCCTAAAAAGCGCAGAATTTCTGGAACAATATTCTTTGGACCAGTGAGACCAAATAGAGATGAGGGGAAACGTTCCTAACACTAACCCATAAACACCTCCAGCTGAAAGTCAAGCATGGTGATGGAGGGACGATGACATGGCTTTGTTTTGCAGCATCTTGTATTGAGTTGACTGCTTCAACAGAAATCTTTCAGAGTCAAGATCTATTTGATATCCTTACAACACAGTTTGATATTGTACTTGTACCACAAATTATGATTAAAATATAAAATCATAGCTATACAACACTTAGATGCTTCAAAAACATAGTTAGAAAAGGGGATCTTCATGTGAACATTTCAATCTGCACACTTTTGAAGTAAAAGGATAACATATCAAACCTTAATGAAATATAATTCTGACAAAAAATAATGGCTGAAGTCTTAGCTTGTTTTATATCTAGAGCTTTAAGTTCTCCACAATTAAAAAAGCATTATGTAATCACATGACTTGGAATAAATTAACTGTTGTTGCCCACACCAAATATGTGTTGAGTCAAAACAACCAACAGAAAGGGTCAAAAATGGAGAAATACAGGCATTTCCATCAATATGTTGGACTTGCATTGACTGTACCCATTGGTTGTGTTGACTTTGTTCTGGATCCATCTCTGTACTGGTAATCCTCAGCTACAACATCCTCACTGACCCCGTGAAATGGTTGACCATTGCAGAGGATGAAGGGATGAACATGTTGAATAGTTCCATGCAAAAAAAGAGTCCCTGTTTGTCAGGGGCAATAAATATACAGCTGTCACTGATGATTACATTACATCACATTATGATGATCGGAGGACGTGTGAGATGTAAGGTGTGCGCTCTGTTCACTTCCTTGCGGTTCACCTGTTTAAATTTGTCTCTTGTCTCTAGACGAAGCTCCAGCTGCCAGATGGCTTTGTGCTCAGTCACTTCAGAGATTCTGAATAGAACTGAGGTCTTCCTACATGATGAGCTCTTCTGCTCCGGAGGAAACCTGACGTCAACATTTCTCTGTGTGAAAGGTGTGCTTAAAAAGAATCTTAGCTTCTCTCCATTTAATCTTAGTTGGACTGTCTTTGCAGGTTTTCTTTTCCCTGAAGGTGAAACAAGAATGTGATATGTCTGCAGCTGTTAGTATTGGGTAAAGGTTAAAGTTGCTTCTAATTATTTGTTCCTCTACATTGTCTATATGGAATGACTACAATAACAGGAACTAGATGGTGACGTACCTGTATGATTTATAGGGCCCTCCATTAATTTGTCATGAAATAATACAGTGTGATATGTAATCTGATCCATTTGAATGTTCTTTAAGAACTTTTAAAGGAACATTCAGTAAATGCAAATTTAGAAAGCGTAATGTTGCCTTGTTATAAGACATCCAATATTTGCCCATCTTTAAGATGTGTGTGTTGGTGATTAGCATTAAGCATCATGAGGGGTCAATCTAAGCATAGACATGTTCAATAAATTAGAATATTGAAAATTTTATGTATTTCATTTTTATCAAACACATTATATTTCCACACAGACTGATGTTTTTGAGCCTTTATTTCTGTTGATTAGCATCCAGCTAATGAAAACATAACATTTAAAATTATAACACGACATCAGACCAATAAAAATATTTTCAATATAGAAATGTTGGATTAAAGAAAGGTATGGTTGTTATTTTTAAAATTCACTTTTAATCTGAGAAACAAGCTGCATATGAACCAATATTCTAATTTATTGAATATAGCTGTTGGACATAAAGGTATTTTCAAATGTGTATATATCATTTGGCTTTGCAAGTTTTTTGTTTATTATCTTATGCTTCATACTTTTGTGAAACCTACTTTGGAAATTAACTGTCTGTGTGCTATTTCTCTGTTTCATTGTTTACTGGGGATGTTTCAGGACTCAAATTTGGTTAAGCGAAGTCTTACATACTGTATCTTTCTCTAAATGCAAATAAAATTTTGGTTTGTTTTGTTTCAACTTACTTCTGAACAAGTGTCAAATGTCACAATACTTTTAAAAGATTTACCAAATTAAGCAATGAATTTTGAGTTATTGTTACCAATGGGCTAAAATACCTACAGTGCTGGTTACAAAACAGCAACCTGTTTTGTAACCATGTTGCTGTGTTGTTTTGTAACCAGGTTGCTGTGTACTGCAGACTTCTGCCCAGGTCCCCCTTGAAAATGAGATCTAGATCTCAATGGGGTTTACCTGGTTAAATAAAGGAATAAAAAAAAAAAAATATTACTTAGAAAGGCAGGTAAAGGTGTGGTAAAAACCTTAAAATGGTTTCATCTTTTGTTGTAGCAGCACAATGGAAAATTCAAATAAATCCTATGTTCACCTGGGGGAAAAAATTAAACTAAGATAAAATTGTTTTTGACAAAGTTACATTTTTTTTAACAATCTCTTTAAAAATCTGAATTGCAATCAATTTTTATGCAGCATCAATTAAAACCAAATATCATCTCCAGGCACTTTATAAGATAGACAAACACAATTTAAGAAAAAAAAATTAATAGTCCAATCATAAAATAAAATGAGGTCAAATTTAATTACAAATATTGCAATTCTTATAAAATACTGTAGCTACTTATGCTAGTTGGTGTCAAAGTCAATGACTCTGCAGCAATGAGCTGGTGGAAAAAGTGGATGTGGAATGTTATACTTTACGCTTAACTTTCATAAGTCGATCGGAATGTCTCAGAACTTCTAGTCGGTAATTAATGACTTTCCGTTTCCCTGGGTTATAAATATGACAGAGAGGCAAATTTCATTTAAGCCACCAGGCTGGACATGCAGTGAGAGGTGAGCATTGCTGAAGAACTGCAGCACAACGCATCAGCTTTGTGTCAGCAAGTCTCCACAACATCCAGCAGACTCTAGACATGTCATAAAAGCCTATTCCATCCTACCAACACAAACATAAACATGTCTAGTTTTCTGAACTATATAAGAACTTTACCTGAACCTTTGGGCATCTATTGATTGAAAATTAATTGATTCATGCAGCGTTTCATAAAAACCAACTGTAGTGGTATAGAAATAGACATAATTTCACACAAATAGTTTCCAGGTGAGAAGTTCCGGTTCTTGAAGTGG